TTTTGCATATAAGAACGGACTATGAATACCGCCCATAAAAAGAAGTGCATCATCTATGACGAGGACAAGAATGTAATAGCCACGGACTAAGGAATAGAGGGACGGAGCACAAGCTGTACCGGGGGAGCACGTTTGCGGCGGGGGGCGCCATATTCGTTTAGTAATCACCACACATAGAATTCACTATTTGCGTATGTGTGAAAAATGAAAGTCAGATCCTGCGCACAATAAACAAAATAGGAAATAGAAATAGGAATAATTATTAAATATTAGAAATAAAAAATTGGAATTATTATTTTAAAAATAAAAAGAATAAAAAAAATTAATGCATGAATTAAGAATTGAAACTAATTAATATATTTTATTCTCTTGTTAGATGTAAAATAATTTCTCTTTTTAATATTAAATGTTTATTGCTATTTCTAATATTTTGTCTACTGTATGCAGAGCCTCAGAGTAATAAAAGTTAAAGTATTTTATAAAATTTATAGTACAACAATAATAAAACCGCCTAACCTCTTTACGCTTGTCACTCGTTATGTCTAGTGGCACCACTACACGAGTGTAACCATGTCACAGACACAGAATCTCTGTGTGAGAATCGCTACATCAATATGGCGGAAAGCAGTCCCCCCCGCACGCTTGAATTACCATCCCCTCTCGCCTAAATTAGGACTTTAGACTCGGTCCCTCTATTCCTTAGTCCGTGGTAATAGCCACAGCGATTAAAGATCACGGAATGTACAAACTGGATAAAACCAAAAACCGAGTTAATGCTGTAGTGACTGCGTTAGATTATAAAACTTGGCACGTTTAGGACACCCAAGCCATGACGCGTTTATAAAAATGAAAGACACTCTATTGGACGGTATAAAGTAAATTAATGTAATGAATAGAAATGTAAGGTATTTTTACGGCCGACCGACAGACGGCGCCCATAAGGCACCAGGCGATATATTGAATCGCAAGACATCAATTCCCGAATAATCAATGTAGCTAATCGATCCATGCGCGCGCTACCGGATCCGCCGAAGGTTCTACAACGTTCTGGAATCTTCCGAATCCGTAAGATTATCCAGAGAGAAATCCGGAGAGACACTCTGTTCGGAATCGGCATAAAGACCAGTCGCGTTTATTGTATTAGAGTCGTCGATTAAACCGTGAAACTAGTTCTAGTCAGTCGAACGATAGTCGAGATATTCTGTATTGGGTGCTTGAAATAAAGGCCATTTGTTATACAGTTCGAAAGTAGTGATTTATTCATACACCCCGGTTACAATAATAAATATAGTCGGTAGCCAATCGGAGCACGCGGTTTGAACAAATACGCTCAACGGACATTTTGGACGAGCGAACTCGGTGCTCCGACCGTTACAAGTTTTCTTAAAGAACTAGTCGGATTTTTGTCCAGCCGTTTCGTGCGGTTTGTCGTCGAGAAAACTACTCGGAGAACTTTCAGAAACATCTGTACATCTTGTATTAAGGGTAAGCAGCACCGCCTTCGCTCCGTTCAGTTCAAGTGTTAAACACACAACGCAATCGCTAGAACTTATTCATTCAGATCTTTGCGGACCTATGCAAAACAAATCATTCGGTGGTTCGCGATACTTCTTAACGTTCATCGATGACCATACAAAAAAGGTTTTCATATCTTGAAAAGTAAACATGATGTTCTCAGCTATTTTAAAGAATTTAAAAGCTTCGTCAAAAATTAAACAGATAAAAAAATAAAAACGTTACGTACAGACAATGGCCGCGAATATATTAATAATAAATTTAAGAATTTCTTACGTAAAGCCGGAATTAAACACGAAACAAGCGTGGTGTTTACGCCTGAACAGAACGGCGTTGCTGAGCGCTATAACCGCTCGATCGTAGAAAAGGCCCGTTGCATGATATTTGAAGCGAATCTTGAATTACCGTACTGGGCCGAATCGGTAAATACAACGGTTTATTTAATTAATATTTCACCTACAAAGTCACTAGATAACACAATTCCAAACGAGATTTGGTCAGGCAGAAAACCTAACGTATCGCATTTAAGGATTTTTGGCTGTAAGGCTATGGCCCACATCCCTAAAGAAAAAAAAACGAAAATGGGACCC